GACAAATTTTATATTTTATTACATAAAGCCTGTTTACAAAGGGCACGTTTCATACAGAAAAGTAATCTATAATGGACAGAATAAGTGCATGTTGGAATACATAAATCAATAAAGCTCTTCAAAATTCCCTCCACACTACCACATGTTTAATCAATATATTCCTAGAAGATCCACTTTAGAGGTTACAGTATATAAAATGCATCTTCTATGGCTGGTAGTAAAAAAAAATATTCACTTCCTTGTACCTTCAAAATTTCAAGTGATCAATCTAAAACCACACTATATGAACAATTGCATTACACAAGATTTTACAAGGAACCTGCCAATACGACTGTCTTCTCTGTAATGGAATATTTTAACCTCTGTATATTGTACACCTTGTTTGTTTCTTTACCATTAAACTAAAACTATGACTTCAAATATTAGCCTGTCATGCTTCACATTTATCTTATTGCACTCTCCATGCATAATTTCCCTAGATTTTGACTCTTGATTCCATTTATTTTATGATATGATTAAATGAAGATCACAATATGAAAATAAGTTAGGATGAACATGATTACGTGAAAATCATATTAAATTTTATGCATTAGAATGTAACAAACCTACTTCAAAATCTAGTGGGCACATGCACCTGTCATCTTACAAATGCATGACAGAAATGCCCAGAACATTGTACATTAAATAATTTAAAAGACTAAACACCCAATGTCACAACTGCTTGTAACAGCAACTGACTGTGTATCCTTCAAAACCACTTGTTTACTTTTAACACAATATCTGCAAATTACATACTAAAATAAATAAATAAATACTGTGATCTTTTGTTCTGCAATTATCAAAAATTGTGACCTCAAAAATAATTATTTGGAAATACAGAAACAACAGCAGTGAAATCAATGTTTAAAATCACTCAATTATTTCAAATCCAAAAAAGTAAGCAAACTGTTTATAAAGCCTGTGCAAATACACATGAAACAATTACTATAGTTAATATCGTGTTAAGTATCAGAAATATACATAAATCCAATGACTGATTTAAAAAACACAAAGTACAAGTATCCTATATATACAAAATTCCATAAAAACTATGAAAAGTCTTTTTGATAATAAAATATTACTTCACAATCTTCTGAATGTGTGGAACCTTGCAGCTTCATTATACAAAAAAGATCATGGCTTCTAATAATGTCTAAAAAGACAACACCAAATATCATAAATGCTGCAATACAAATTCTACTTAGGAATATCCAAATATACAACAAATTCATAAAATTCCTGATATAGAGAAGATTAATAGTTTCATTACTAGTAACCAAACCTATAATCAAAACTGAATTTGGGTTTAAACTATACTTTCATGTAAATTTAGGACATAACCATATCGACTTACAGCATCTGCAGGTTCACTCAAACATTCCCTGCACTTACAATACAATCAAATATTGACTACAATGCTTTTGAAGTGAGCAATTTTCCATAATGAAATTTATTGAATTCAATCAATCATACTCATTAGTAGTTCAAAGGAAAGAACTACAATGTACCATAAAAAAAGAAAACTTGTTGAAGATAAGACCCCCCATGAATATTCACAAACATCAGATAGTTACATTTCCGTATACTAAGATAATGGTCGAAAAATCCAAATATAAAGATCTACTTTCTAAAATCAAATTCTTACATCTTAGGAGAATGGGGTCATCATATACTCTTCACTATTTGTTCTAGTTTCCAATGCTTAGATCATAGTCCAAAATAAAATTGTTTGGGTAACTACTAAAAAAATATCATACATGATATATTACAGTCCCTTCACCTACATTTTATGTGAAAAAAATATCTTGTGATATTTTTCTTGTCACTGTTAACTGCTTCATTGATGAATGATAATCACAAAATACAGAATAATAATCTCTGCATTACATCATATAACAGTAACCATTTACTTCCAAAATAACTACAGAAAGTGTGTATTAAATATATAGCCTTACACTTCTTAATATAGGTTTGAACACATCTATATACACTTGCTGATCACTAGTTCCCAATCATATATATCAAGCCTTTAGTTGGTGTACTGTTAATAGCACAGTATCTATCTTTATGCTATGTACCTACAGTTAATCATGATCATCATAATATGCAACTACTTATAACATTAAAAAAAATGAAAACCAATGTCTTAAAACTGAAATACAATACTGGAAAATGTCAGCTAAAATGTAGTGACTTTCTTTTAAGAATTACATGACTTTTAACATTTTACTCCATTACTTTACTACACAAAAAAGCCCTAATAATTTATATTTCTTACATATTAGTCTTCGAAAATGAACAGGTTTTATACTTTACCTGGAACAAGGCCTACCACGTTTCATTTGTAACTTATAATCATACTTTTTTACCTGAAGATATCCCACTGAAAGAATATTACTACTATTAAAAATACATATTACATATTCTAAAATTCCTAACCATGTCTAAAATGGAATATTATTCATGCCACAGAAACAACTGTCCTTAGCACTTCTTTAAAACACTTGCAAAGCAGTAGATGAAATCTCTTTAAACTTGGCAGCACAATTGATAAATTACATTTGTTAAATTCCTTGTACACGGAACATTAACCAAATATCAAAATGTTAAATACAACTGTAAATTAGCCATATGAATACTGATATTTTAAATCTGTGTTTCAAAAGTTACAATCTCCAATTCATTACAGTGAATAAAAAAATATTCATCTACATCAAGATCATTCATATCTAACCATTTCTGAGTTTCCACTCACTGTTTAGGTGGCCATTGTCAAACAAGAATGTAAAAGATCAACTAAGAAAGAGGTATCTATATTAATACAGAAACTTCCACACAGCTGAAAATTAGTGGAGTCATCATTCCTGACTATTAAAACAAGCAGATGAAACAGACTGCAATGTATGATACATGTCAGCCTAAATCAAATGAAACCAACAATAAAACTGCCAGGACTTAGGCATTTATCATTACCCTACAGAAGGACTGTCTGTCCCAGATGAGCCTCCGTCTGTGGCTGAGAGAGTGGCATTCCTATCACCCTTCTTTTTGCCTTTCATTAACACAGCAATCTCTCGGCTTTGTTCACGAATCTTCTTCTGCAAGATCTCTACTTTGCTTTCATAATCCCGGCTGCAATTCTTCATCTTCTGGCGGAGCTCCTGTTCGAACGTGAACTGACTTGCCTTCAATTCAGTCATCTGAATCAAAAAAGGAGAAAGTTTGAGTAGTTAATCAATCAGCATTTTTTTTTTTTTTTTTTTTTTTTTTTTTTTTTTTTTTTTTTTTTTTTTGACACATGGATTTACAAGTGCTTAGCCACCAAGGTACCAATAATTAGGCCTACCTGAACTCACCTGTTAACTCCATTCCTTGAATTTGGGGGAAAATTTTCATTTCTAGTACTATCATTATTGTTATGGACATTATTATTATAATTAATACTGACATTACCATCACTATAACATTATTAAAAATGATAACAAAAATAAAAAGCTTTTCAAAAATTCAAGGAATAGGGTAAACAGGCAGGATCTGATAAGCCTTGTAGCTGACTCTTTTGATAACTATATACTTGTGGAGCCATCTTGTGTCAAATTCAAAATGGCCAAGGCAGGTATACATAGCCTCTTGGCACCAATCATTTAACACCTAAATATAGATTATACATAAACTGAAAAGAGGGAATACAAGCAAACAACAAAGTAAAAAAACATACAAACAGGAGAAATTTTACCATGAAGCATTCAGACCACCCCTCCTCTCCACAACCCTATTTTTCTGATACACTAACTCCCACAACCTGTGAAATTTTGGGCAAGTGATGCAGGTTCCATTTTTTTACTTGCTATTTCACCCACTTTTTATAACATGCACTCATTATCTACAATCCAAAGTTTACCTGTTTTTCTTTTGCCAAAAGCTGGGAATCTTTGCCTGAAAGTTGCTTCTCAAGATGAGCTATTCGTTCCCTTAGCTGTGTTATTAGCACAAGCTGATCAGCTGTTCCTGGGTCATCTCGAACTGGACCAGAATTTCTTGATACCTGGTAATACATTGGTGTTTAAGTTTCAGTATTATTAAAAACAAACTATATATATATATATATATATATTCTATGATGATGCATCTGTTAACAGATTTAATCACATACATGTAGATGTTTTGATATCCACACTGGATAGCCAAAATTCTTTGCTCTGTACTGGATTTAATGAAAAGGAAGTAAATCAATCTATAAACAGAATATCTAAAGTATGAAATTTAGTCTGATAAACCCAAATGACTACAGTACATTACTTTTTAAGAAAATTATCCTTCCCATCTAACAAGTGAAACTCCATTAAACTTATAAAAAAAAGAAGAAAAAAGAAGAAAAAAAAAAAAGAATAACTTCTTAAACTTGAGTTTAACTCTGAAACTGATCTATTGCCATTAACACTATTTGCTTATACTAATATAACCTTCTCTTACCTTAGGTTGATAGACTCTTACGAATCTTAACATTGCTGAATCACTCTCCCTATACTTGTACCTTGTAATCGATCTTCCTCAGGCTCACCAAGTGCCAAACTTCCTAATACACAATTCCTCTTTTTGATAGACTCTCTTCGTCCATTCTCTCCATCCCTTCTCACTCACACTATTCGACTTATTCCTCAACCTATTCAGCTTCCTGACAGTGACTGCCCTTTTCAAGGAAATCCTTTTCCATGGCTTTTCCATTGTACTCACCAAAAGACTTATTCAGATTTTCCTTTAAAGTGCTCATAGCATGAGCGCCTCAACTCTCATGTTTCAATCCCTTTCGGATCCTTTACCTTTTCTGTTATTACTTAACACTTACCAATTTCTTAAATTTGTCATGTGTTTCCACACTCTGAATGTCTTTGTCTGTATCATATAATCCCAGCTGAAAACATGAGAAAACTCTTGTAAGTGTTGACAAAGGAATGAAAACACATCAAGAAACCATATGATGCTCACATCAGAAATTACTAGCTCAAAAATATAAGGAGGTAAATGACTAATTTACTTGGCTGCCTTCCTCCAAACTGATATGTAAGATATTGAAATTCTTATTACAATATTTCCTTCCAGTTGTACTGTACTTTACAGCCTGTACGATCTTGCTTAAAATTATCACTTCATTTCTTAACTGCAAGAACTTACCTTCCTCCTTTTGATTAAAAACAGTTCCTTCCTTGTAGATAGCAAAACCAAATAGCAAGGCCATTCGCTTTTTATTTCTCTAATTTTGTGGGCTAGGCAAATTAAACTGTGAAAGTGAAAATATCACAGAACCAAAATAAAATATGGCTTTTCTAATTTAAACTCATAAATCAAAGCATGACTAGGTCCCTTTTGTACAGCTTCACTATTCACTTATAAGCAACATGCAGCACTTAGATCACTAATGCTATGTATAGCAAAAGCCTTGCACAACAAAATGAAAAACATTAAAACATATTCATTGCAAAAAATAAAAATATTAAATATAAAAATAAATCATAACTCAGCACAGATAATACTAAGATTAGTGTGTGTGTCCTCCTGATTTCCTAATATTTTGAGAGGGTTTTTTTCCCCCTTTTGCAACTAGCATTACACAAACCAACAAAATAAGAAATAAAAAACGTATGGCCCCAGATATAATTCTTTATTAACCCACACTGGTCTTGGCTAAAGCAAAAAACAAAAAAATAAATAAAAAAAGAAGAAAAAAAGAAAAGAAAAAGAAGGAGAGCATATAGCACATGATACCTTTGCCGGAGGCTCTTCTTGTGGCATTTTCGTAACATCGGGTCTATTGGGTCTTTTATTGTGGCCACTCAGCTTATGTCTGTTATAGTCAGAAAAAGGAAAGAATAAAAATTGAGTATTAAACCAATGAAAGATGAACATGCCTAAGTTATAAATCAATATTCACCATCTTTTGACATTTTCCCAATTCCACCATTAGACATTAATGATGGCATGGATAAATGCAGACAATTACATTTGTCTGTATCTATATGTTCTCATTTTCTGAAAATATCTTGAAAAGAAAACTGAAAAACTATTAATAATGGCATGGATAAATGCAGACAATTACATTTGTCTGTATCTACATGTTCTCATTTTCCAAAAACATCTTGAAAAGAAAACTGAAAAACTATCACTATCATAAAAAAGAGCATTTACCATATAAAACTGCTTATCTTAAAACTCTAAATCTTCAGACTATAATACTATCGAAAAACCTTCAAAATCTCCATGCAGCTGCACAGTATATGAATATTTGCTTAGCCCTTTGAGTACCTGTCTGTGCTAAACCCCCCCAAATTATATAGTGATGCTCAAGCCCTGCTGCAAGTAGTTCCGGCTTTTCCTATGGGTGCGAGGCCAGATCAGTAGTTTAACCCCTTGGATACAATTGCTTCACGACAATCACATGGACTAAAATAATGGGATAATGCAAAAGCCCTTTCTCAAAGTCAAATGATTCTAATCACTTTCCAAGAGGTTTTAACCATCATCCCAGCCTTCAACCAAAATGCTCACGACAGGTTCACGCCACTCAGGCCTGCAGCCAGATTTTCCCATGAAAGCATGTTCACGTCACATTCCCCTCCAGCCAAAATTTTTCATGACATGATGGTCATGTCATCCACATGGAGGTGGTTAAAATCTTGATATGCATACAACTATCAGGGGATCACAGAGGGTCTGGAGAGTAGCCCATAATGCTGTTACAAACAAAAATTTACCAGTTTTCTGTGCATAGTATAAAATTGCTAAATGAGGCGAGTTGGATACTCAGGTTACATCCCCCCCCCCCCAAAAAAAAAACATTATTAAATTTTCTCAACTAATACCCTACATGCTACTTTTTATAAAGATTCCTATGCCATTTTTTGAAACAGGAATCAGTGACATGAAAATACTTTCATGGGTAGAAATGGCTGCAGGTCGGGAGACAAACTTGCTGTCATGAGCGAAGGTCAGAGTGAAGGAAAAGATTCACCACGAGTGCACAAATCTCTTGGAGGGTTATTAGACTCATTTGGCATTTAGAAAGGGGCATTTGACTATTTCCATTGATAAACGGGTTTGGAATGTAATGTCCATAAGCCATCACTGGAAAAGCACCAGCTCCAGGGAGGACACTATTTCGAAGCTCAGCATCGTTAAAATGTTACTTTTTTCCCTTCCACCGAGTTATTTACTACTTAGATATGATATGGGGTCTGTGCAAGAAAAATAGTCTATTACCATCAGGATAAAGCAACACAAAAGACAAAAACAGACTTTGAAAAATGGCGAAATTGTTAAAAAGTTATGCAATATAACTTTGCAAAGGGGAAGCATAAAGTCTTCTCACCACATACGTGTTCATATGTGCCCAGCCTACACACCATTCATATGTGCCCAGCCTAAACACCACATACCTAGCAGAGCGCGACTTATGTAACCTAATGCCCGTACTTTCCGCCATGTGCTTGCTGTGACATAACTGGATTCAAGGGGTTAATATCACGAAAAGAAAAGCACATTTCCTAAATGCTCAAGGAAAGGAGATATCAGGCAAAATCATGTGGGCCTACAGATTCCTTAGAGGTTGAGTACTTGTAGTGCCATCTACATGAAAAGACAATGTTAAAATAAAAGTACAATCGATATTACAGTGGCAATCAGTAGTAGTATATTTTCAACTGGATTTTCTTTTTCTTCTGTTTTCTTTTTTGAGAGAAGAGAAGAGAAGTGAAAAAGAGAAAAAAAAGAAAAAGAATAGAAATGAGATGAGAAGAAAAGAGAAAAAAGAGAAAGAAAGTGAAAAGAGAAGGAAAAAGAGAGAGAAACAAGAGAAAAAGAAAAGGAAGAAGAGAGAAAAGTGAGGAGAAAAAGTGAATACTTTCTTATAAACTAAAAATATAAACTTTAAGTATCTACTGTACATAAAAAACTAACCTAGTCATTTTTTCTGTACTCTATATTGGAAATAGTTTTCATGGCCAATTTTCTTTTCTTTTTTGTATCATGTAAAGATAGGAGACCAGTGACCTGTAGCAATTCTAATGGCAAAGATAAATAATTCAGTTATAACTGTACCTTTCCTTATCCTTGTGGTGTCCAGAACGCGAACCAAGCTTTATGTGAGAATGCCTAGCAGGATCTGTTACTTTTGTTTTTGCTAGCGCTCGCTTGTATGACAGTGTGCAGAGCCAGCACAACAACTTTCCGTCAACCTGAAAACAAAAACAAATCTATTAATCAAAAGAGAAGAAAAAAAATAATATATACTGAATATCTAGATTTCAATATTACATTATCTTTTTCTGCATAAGCATTTTTAGCTTTTTGGACATTTTCCAGTGTCTATACTTGTCACTTGATTTGCTGTAATACGTCAGTCATGGCAGATAAGAATAGGACCCTGAGCATGGAAGTATCATCCTCTGTGGAGGCGGCATTCTTCCAGTCATGGCTCCACTGATAAACACTCATTTGTCAATGGAAATAATGATAAGACTCAGTCGGCATTTATGATGAGGCATTTGCATTATTTCCATTGATAAACGTGTGTGAAATGTACTATCTGTGAGCCATGATTAATAACACTGGCTCCAGGGCGGACACTATTTCCAAGCTCAGGATCCAATTCCTGCCTGCTGTGACTGGCAGAGATTGTATTACAATAAAATTGAATATTACTTATTGTTATTATCATTACACCAAATTATGGACTACCTAATGAGATGATGAGGAGTTTGTGCAAGGAAAACAATATCATCTGGATAAAGCAAATCAAATGACAAATATAGATTGGAAAAAAAAAAAAAAAAAAAAACTTATGCAGAGAAAAGAGAAAATAACATTGCAAAGGGGAGGCTTGGAGTCTTGCAGACGAGTGTTCTTGCGTGCTCAGCCTTCAGGATGCACACCTGGCAGAGTGGCTGTTCAAGTAAGCCTAATGCTGGTATTTTGGGCCACATGCAGGCAGTGAAGCATCCTGATCCAAAGGGTGAAGTACATTTTTCAACACTATCCATTCTATTGAATATATCATCTTAAGCAAGCACTCAAGAGCTGCTTAGTAACAACCTGCTAATTCATTCACAAGTCAGAGCTGCCTTAATTGACCCCTTATAATTCTATTCACTAAAGCACAAAATCTCAGCTAACCTGGGCAATGCCACCCTTGAAATATGGAACTGCATTCAACACAAGCAACTAGTCTATTACCTCAATAATATAAAACCATATTTGCAAATTTTAGTCTTCTTGGCTACCCAGTTTGTTCACTATATAGATAATAAACCATGACAAAGTATTTAGTGAGCTTTTCATTATCTTTTTTTCATATTTCAGTGAACCTTTTCACATTACCATCACAAAGAAGAGTCATGAATAAGTGTAGTTCCTATATTTGATGGTGCATAAAAAACACTCCATGCACACCAAATGAAAATAAAGCTACATTAAATTGGAGAAAAAATCCAGTATTCCTTGCTCAATTAATTCTTAAGGGTAGTAATTGTGTTGGATACATCATTAAGTTGGATGTACCCAAAATTATAATAAATTACATATTTCTTCTTAAGGTCATACACTAATCTGGCCTCTAAACAAAACAGTGTATGGGAAATATACTGAATTTCAATTAACAAAACATCTGGTTACTCTTTCATAAATCTAAAAAATAACAAATTTCAACTGATATGATGTTAACTTTCAAGTTCCTACTTGCCACAAATCTGGCTTACTAAATTTCATAACCCCCATCCCCCAAAAAAAAAAGGTGTCATTTTTTTGCACAATATGTAAAAACCTGGAGAGAAATTTTCCCAAGTCCTTTCACAGTTAAGGATATGTAATGTCAATTTATAACTAGCGCTGCCTGGAAATTTTCCAATAGCAACATAGACGTTCCTCTCCCTGTGCAAATTACAGATTCTAACATCTTTTCAAAATGTAAAAACAATTAAAAAAAGGACAACTATATCTATATGCTGTATGAGTGGATGCAGAGAAGATAAATTAATCCCAATAACCCCGTACCACAGCTGGCATGGCGACAATGTCATGGCTGTTGGACAGAAAATCATGGATGGCACACAGCGCGGTGACTCGCCATCTCGCCAGCCATGCTTCTTCTGCCCTGATTGAATGATCTGCATCATGGATTAACGTCCCGAAGTTATATAGCTATTATCATAGTCTATATTTGTGTGTTTATTCCGTGTTATATGGTGTCTCTTTCTTGTCTTTTTTCTTGCTAAATCGATTGTGTTATGTGTTGCTTTTGTTGTTTCTATGATTTAATCAGCTATAGTGTGATTTCTTGATTTTGCTCTGCGTTGTTTTGTATATAGTGTGAATCACCGCTCTAATTGATTACGTAAGTCTATAATGGTTTTCTACGATTTGCCCTGTTTGTGTAATAGGTAATTATTGGCTTTTGTTAGTGAATAGTTTGTGTGTGTATTATTTTGTTGTGTTTGCTATTATAGCTACTAATATTTATAACAAAAGCGCTCATGTAACAATGAATGTCTATATATTATGCCTGCCACATGAATGTACCAGAATATATTTTTTTTACAACTAAGCCAATCG